ATGATACAATCCTTAATTCTAGGTGATATGATGTTCCAGCATATTCTTAGCATCTTTGATCTAATATGAGTAAAAATCTATACTAGCTGGTCCCAGGCTCATGTTCAGCACTATTCGTGCCTGGGCTTATACCTATGCCCAAACTTAAACTCGACTTAGTGTTATCAATTTTGATTATCTTAGGTTTATGTTCAAGCATGCCCGTACCTAGGCCCAACCGTGCACCCGTATCTGGGCTTGACCATGTGCCCGTACCTCAATTATCAGTGCTCTTGCCTGCGTCTGATTGGGTGCTGACGCATCGCACATCTATGCCCGCCTCTAGGCTTGGCTCAATCTTGTCAAACCTGAACACCTTCCCTGAGCTTTTAAAGTTTTGATCACCGTCCGTATCATTGTTCTGGACTGGTTTTTCGTAACCTAAACTTCTAATGTGCCTCAGAGCTTGGTCCCCTTGGCTATCAAACTCTGTCCCACTAAAACTTAAACTGCTACCCAACTTGGAGAGAACCTTTAGACCTAGACCAGCTTGTGGACTATGACATTTTCCCAAACTTATTCTAGCAATGCCCTTATTACTAAAGGGATGATGCACCTGTCTTGAATGTCAGCTCCAACTCTTACCCTGTGATTCAATTTTCTAACATTTTAGTCCCACATCTAAACATGTATTCTGTTGGCTTCCACTGCTCTCGATCTAAAGTTTCTTAGCATTTTGTTGTAATGGTCTCTTTTGCCCACACTACCGACACTTCCTGTGCTTCCTCTAAGTTGCCCATTGCACTCTCTTTTATGAGGAATCTAAATGTACTGTGGGACTCATGCTGTGGCACTTCACTGCCACTAGTTTTTTTTCATCAACTCCTTAAGAGGTCCCAACCCTTTAGCAGCCTTCGACTAGCACCTGGTCGTTTCTCTTGGGCTCATTTTATTATTGTTTACCCCTGCCATTCTTGCCTTTGGATAGCTCTTCTGCCCGCTTAATAGTTGAAAGCTTTGAGTACTCTCTGACCTACTGTGGACCTGGATAAAAATAGCAACTTAAAGGCCCTTTGCCCTGTTGGCATCTTTTTCGGTCTTACGAAATTTGGGCTTCCTCACAACCCTTTCTTCCTCTAAGTAACAAACACTAGTGTCTCACCCATTCTAGCTTTTTTCTTTTAGCCTAGGAAACTTGGTACACTTAATCTGAGTTTGTGATTTTGCAAACTCCTGCATGTCTCTTCATTGCAGCTTGCCCTTTTACTAATGACTTTACTCAATCAATGAAATGCTTAAGCACTTCCACTCTCAGTCTCAAGCCTGTACTAGTAACCACGACAGCTTGCAATGCAGCATGGTCAACCTTGAGCCTAGCTAGCTCTTCTCGCAAGGTTGACACCTCAGACTCCAACGCCTCAATATGCTACATGAGCCTCTTCATTGCTTTATTTGAGGATCCCTTAATGTCCCCAAATAGATCTATTATCTAAAAAAGCCTTCTTCACTGGTTTGTAAGTGGGCACTCCTTGAGCACCTCGCTTTGGCCCTTTATTTAGTTTTTCTTAGCAAATGCCACGATCAAAACACACAAATTGTTAGACTACGAATGCGCAAACCAAAGGTTTACCTCAACTCTAGTAAGCATTTTCACGATCTGGTTTTGGTTCCTGCAAACCAACATATTAACACAGCACACCAACATAATACACACTATCAGGCACCAATCTGCACACTGGTTCAATATATTAGCCTTTTGATTAGGTACCAGTCTGCACATTTACACACCTGCACAACATGCCCAACACACCCACAACACATAACAATAAATTGTCGAACACCTATCTTGCATTCTAGCATGCCCTCACCCAATACACCAAGAGTGTTTCACCAGCATATGAGCATAGTAATCCTTCTACGATGCTCACACCATATAGCAAATTGCTTGTACCACATAGTAGAATGTCTGCACACATAGTAGGATGTTTGTACACATAGTAAGATACCTATACAACTCACCACAATGCCCGCACACCAGACTAGGATGCTCGTGTACAAGTCCCCCTACATGTATCGATGCCAACTCTGGTTCCTCTTGTTATGAATATGGATTTATCGGATACTTCAAATCAAGGTTTTGGTCACCACTTCTGGTCTGATCTAGACTCTGATACCCCTCAATATTTGATTTTATCGCCTACTTTCAGCTCTCTAAACCAGGCATTGATACTACTCAATATCAGACTCTATGGCATACTTTTATCTCCTTTCGAACTAGGTTTTGATAACACTTGTCATGGATTGAAACTCAAGCTCTAAGCTCGTACAACTCTAAAACACAGGGATGGACTCTTTCCGCATCCCAAATCAACCTAACACAAGAAATAGTGCACGAACACACTAAATTATGAGTTTTGGCCACCCAATACACTGCAAAACAAAAGGGCACAACAAGTGCCTGGAGAAAGGTTAACAAAAGAAAAATAGAAATGATTAAGATAAGAGTAAGGATTTTATTATTCAATGGTTTTAGTCTTTCCCTATGTATATAAAGGTGAGGGACTCTCTATTTATATATGATTTCCCTTTACAATCAATGCCAAGATACATGTCTAAACTCTAGGGATTATAATAGTTTAAATCTCATAATCTTAAGAGATACGATACATCCTTAATTTTAGGAATATGATGTTGTAGCATATTCTCAGCATCTTTGATCCAATCTAAGTAGGAATCTATCCTAATCGATTTCAAGCCCGTGCTCAATACCCTCGCACTTGGGCTTATACCCGTGCCTACACCTGGGCCTGACTTAGTGTTGCCAACTTTGATTATCTCAAGTCTATATTCAAATGTCCCAAACCTAGGCCTGACCGTGTGCCCACACCTAGGCTCGATTGTGCGCCTTCACCTCATTCATTAGTGCTCTCACCTGGGTTTGACTAGATGCCCGTGCATCGTGCACCAACGCTCACCTCTAGGCTTAGCTTAATCCTATCGAACCTGAACACCTTCCCTGAGCCTCTAAAGTCTTGATCATTGTTCGTACCATTGTTCTGGGCTGGTTTCCCACAACCTAGACCTCCAATGTGCCTCAGGGCTTGGTTCTCTTGGTTGTTAAACTCTATTCTGCTAGAACTTGAACTACTACCTAACTTGGAGAGAATCTTTGGGCTTGGACCAATTTACGGATCGTGACAAAAGCATGTGGCTAAGCAATATGGTGTCTAGAACAAAATTCCCAAGGAGAAATAACTATTGTTTGATTGATTTCATATCTTTTTGTTAAAAGTTAATGTTGTTCATAATTTGGGCCATAATTAGTGTAGCAAGTTTATTTCATATTTTGTGTCCATACAAGATTTTTTTTTAAACATTGTGTTTGATTTTGCTGGCAAATTTTAGTGTAGGCAGTTTAAAATATGAATTTACTGAAATGTAGGGTTACAAAACTTATATTTTGTTGCCATTGGAAATGAAAATATGAACTGATATGTATGATATTTGTTAGCCAAGTGAAATATAACAAACGTGTTACAAAGTGCTATTTACTTATATTCTGTTCTGTATGGAACTTCATAATTTGTGTTCTATTTTGTATGTAAAAGAACATATTAGGATTTATCCATTAATTTTGTTATGAACACAAATTAAGACTTAAATTAAACTTTGTTTTTTTAGGTGTTTCTATTTTCGTAGACTAAAGTACTATAATCATAACAAACTTGCATTAATACACAAACATAATCAAATTACACAAATCTGCAAATTTAGAAATAAAACCATATTGCAATCAACAACATACATATTACAAGCCAATTACCCTAAACACTAGACTAAACTTTGTTCATTTTCTTTCCAACAACTTAAAAATAACAAGCAAACACATTGCAATCCACTTTGTTTATTTTCTTTGAAGGAACTTGATTTTGGTGTTCCATTCTCCACTTTAATAAATCTAAAATGATTGATTTGCTATGTTCATCTATTAGAGGATCACACCATTACATAAACTCACATGTACCAAGTCGCTACAAATATAAACAAATATTATCACCAAATAAAAGAAATAAAAATGCACTAAATTAAATAAATAAAAATCATAAACACACTAATTTGCTACTCACTGTTGCTACTTGCTACCCATATTCAAAATCATACACCCTAATTTGTTGTGTTCTTAATATCTACAAAATTCAAGACCAATAGTTATGTTCACATATTCTAAACCAATATTCAAAATCCACATAACATTTTGTTATGTTGTCAAAACCCTATTCTATCTATAAAACCCATAAATTAATTAATGAAAAAAAAAAAAGGAAATATTGTTTTCTTACCCATAATTGTTACAATTGAAAAACCTATGACCTATGTTAGTGTCAATTTATGATGTCTTAATTCACATTTGTTGATCACAATGACAAACAGGTAACAAGCTTATATCTTCCATACGACAACTCTAACTCCTCCCTTTCAACCCCTAGCTCTTCTTTTCAACCTCCAACTCCTCCCTTTCAAACTCCTTTTCTTTTTCCCTTCAACACTTGAAAAGTAGGTATCCTCTTTTGATCCCTTTTGGTTCCCTATTTTGATCCCCCTTTTGTTTTCATGATTCAAAACGATTATTTTGCAACTTTTAGATTTTGAATGTTTAAGGTTTTTTTTGTTTTAATTTTATATGTTTTAATTGCCCATTTCTTTTGACAACTTTAAAAAATTTCACGTAATGATATCTTGTAAGGTTATATGTAATGTCATGTTAAATTTTCATCAATTTAAATAATCCAACAAACGAATAAATTGCATTGATATACGTTTGAATAATTGAAAATTCAATTAAAATTTTTTTAAAATTTAAAGACCAAAATAAAATTTGATCCAAAATTTAAAAACCATCCAACAATTCTCAATTGAAATGATCTTAACTCCTTAAAACACCTTTGAAATTTTTGATAGTTTGAAGTTAAGGTTCTCATATTATGCAACTTTTGAACTTGAAAAGTACTTTTAACCACAACGCCAAACTGACCCAAAACGCTATTCTTACAATATCACTTAGGTGCATCTCCACTGGGTCATTTAAAATTAACTTAAAATTCTAAAATGATTTTGAGACCAAGAGAAAAATAGAATAAAAATAAAATAAAAATTCTCGAGGTATTAAAGATTTTGGTAACCAGAAAACTTGAAGAAGCTGGTAACTCAAACGCATTTTCCACAATTAGCATAAATCAGAGAAAATGCGTTCATATATAGAATCAAAAGCGATTCCGCCCCAAGTTAATAAATAGATAAACGAAAGCTGCCCCAAACCCGCACGGCCAGAGGAATATACTACAAAAATATAGCAGTTGACAATCTGGGATTGACCTACACCTGTGTACATCACAACATTCAAAACAGTTGTACATGATGGATGTGTTCTCAAAAAAAGTTGGTCAATTGAGCTTACGCCTACACCTGCGAATGCCAGGGCCTTGACTAGCGTCATCTGTTTCAGGCGAGTCTTCTACAATGGATTCTTGCAGAACCAACCCTCGGTTCCTAGATAACTTTCGGATTGGTGTTGTACTTGATGCTCCTGCTGAATTGTTTGCTGCTTGTTCTGCCTGAGAATGAATTGAGTGCGAATCTTCCCTGTGAGGCATCAATTCCTCTCCAATTGGCATCATGTTCATCATTACCTAAAAGCCCATTCATTCAAAGAATAAAATTAAAAGGTAAAACAAATTAGCCTAAATTGTGCTGGCAATTACATTGTTTGTTGTTAAAACAAGCAACTAATACAGTTTGATCAACGGAACTATTTCACCATTAATCATAAAGAATATCAAAGAGAACCCTATATGATTCTGTAGAATCTTTATGTGGCATTAAATCCTCACCAACAGCTACCACATTCATCATTAACTAAAAGCCAGTTTGTTCAAACTTGGAATTAGAAAGAAACAACTTAACCTAAAAAACACCATATAAATACAATAACTTGTTCTCAAGTGTTTGATGCAACTAAAATATTTTTGGCATACTGATACAAGAAAAAGCATAGACTGTAATACTTTTTAGTATTTGCAATATCTAAAGTGTGTTTGATGCAATAGGAGCATAATCTGTACCTTCCAGTCCTTAAAATCAAACCTGAACACAAAATGGCTGTAAGCAACCTCGCCTTTCGTTACAGACTGAGCATCAGGAGCATTTGTGGGAGCTGAATGAAAACCATAAATGACACAATAGCATTATCATTGTATAACACAAAGTAAAATTTCTGTTACATTGCAAATTAAATTCTCTTGAAACATACTTACAAACAATATGAGAACCAGATTCATTCACAACTATTTCTGCCCTCCCATCTTTGACTAAGAATGAAAGCACAAATAAATTCTCCACAGTCTGTGCAAAAGATGTTCTATTCAAAATCAAACTTTCAAGTTTCACTTTTCTCTTTCTCTTTAAGATTTCAAACATTGTTGCCATATTTTTGTCAGTATCAGTTTTCTCATCAGCATCAGTATCATCAACCTGTTGAACAGGAAAATAAATCTATGTGAACAATGATCGTTAAAAGACCAGATAGATAATATACAATTTTATGATTATTAAACTTATGGTACAATCATTTATGAACTTTTTGAAAGAAATAGTAACTCAAATCCCATAATAAATTTGTTTGAGATTAATTAAATATTACTTGATGGATAAGAAAATTTACAAAAGAAAAATTCTAACAAGAGATTCTTAATAAATAAGTTTGACTTGTAAAAAAAGAATTCTAAAAAAAAAAAATTCTTAATAAGCAAGTTTGTATGTTTATAAATAGGTAAAGTTTTTATAGGATTAGCTATGAGAAAAAAATACAAGAGAGTTATAAGATTTTATGAGATAAACAACTCATAAGACTATTGGAGATTTACGTCTTATGGATATATATGTTTTAATGTTTATGAGTAGACTAAAAAAGACTGAGAGAATCCACATAAATATGATGCATGGGTATATAAAGGTATATGTTTGTTTAGGTTGAGAATACTCTATAAAATTAGAGAAGATTGAAAAGGTTCATGAGTATTAATTGTGAATGGTTGTTTTGATCTAATTCTCTACAACTAGTGAATCTTTTTTCCTTATCCGTAGATGTAGATCAATTGAACCGAATCACGTTAAATTATTATCTTTTGTATGATTGATTAATTATTTAATTTGCTTCTGCTGGTGTGATTGAGTTGAGGCTTTTTAGCCTAACACTTTTTTCATCACAACCACCCCACAAAATAAGATAAAACCACACAACATAAACCAATACACATCAGAATAAAATGCTGAATAGGCAATTGCCAACTGGAACTTTCATTTTCTTACATCAACATCAGTAAGCATCGGTTAATAGAAAATTAACCAAGAAAAGAAAGTTTGCAATTTCTCATGAAAACAATCACAACATAAGAGAAGCAATTATACAAACAAATGATTGCAAACCCAAACATATTATGTATGAATACCTCAAAAACTACAAAGACTCCATGACATATTGCTAGTACCAAGTGACTCGGCACCCACATAAACACAATCTACATGATCTTGTTCTCTTAACCATTAGTGTAGTCAATTCAGTTCAGCTCAGTTTTGAGAAATTTTTTTTATTGGGTGGAAGTATTGACATTTTAAATGAAGAAAAAGAAAAAAAAATCAAACCAAATTGTGTAACCCAAACTGAACTGAATATAGTTTGATTCAATTACTCAGTTTTTTTTCCTTTTTAACTTAAAAATGGTTTTAATTTTGCAATGATTTTTTTGAATTTACCTAGTGACTAAAAACAAATGCTAGTACTTTTAACTCATAAAAAAATAAATATTTTAAATTGATTCGATTAAGTTTGAACCGTTTCAGTAAAGTGAACTGGATATTTTAATCATTATTTTAACTAAAATAGAACCCAAAAGCCAAAAACCCAAAAGAAAATAAACATAATGGTTTACTTGGCCTTTCCATGTTCTCAGTTTTGTTTTCACACCTATAAATGATGCTTAAAAACTAAAGAGTAGAAAAGGGCAATTTCACCTCTTCAGGCCGAGCAGTATCAGTTGGTTTGACAGCACGCCGTCTAGTAACCATACTCTTCCTTTGCTTTAACTCATTCTTCATAGGCCCAAGCCTAAAGATCGATAACCAAAAAGGTATTCAGCAACCCAACTCATTAAGGACCAAAAAGAAAACTCAAAATGGTATCATAAAAAAACTAACATGGTGCAAATTCCTTTCCAGGTAATAAAGAACGGTGAAACAGCCATCCCAATATCTTTCCAATTGATTGATATCTGCTCATTTTCTTGTGTGTCAAGGCTCCTGTCGGATTTTCCAAACTCCCTAACTAGACAATTGACAAAGTCTGCTAGGCTAATTCCCTCACTAGAGATTGACTTAACAGAAGTTGCCAATGTGTTAGCTAAGTCCAATAATGCCTCTGCATCTGCTACTTGTTCCCGTGGTTTTGACACTAAAAGCCCAAAAGAGAAACACCAAAACTAATTACTATAAATATATTTCTTCAGACAGAAAGTGAGTCAATCTGTAACATATTTTCTAAACTAAACTCTTCCGAACTTTTTGGGGAAAAAAAAAAAAAACCCAAGACTATTAAGTTAATTAAATTAAAATCTTGAAAATCCCAAATGAAAAATATCATAAATTAATGGACTTTACTTCCTTAAGAAGTTAAAAAGAGACATCGCAGATTATTAAACTTAAAAATCACAAAAGAAAAAAAAAAGAAATATAATCAGTGAAACAAAAATGTTGAAAAAAAAAAATTACAACCTATAACAATTATTCAAGAATTTCAAATTGGGCATACAAATAAATGAAAATAAATTCGCAAAAAAAATTAAAGAATAAAAAAGATTAACCTTGTTGATGCAAGTTATCGACTTCATTAATGATGATATTAAATTTATTAGAATCCACACTTGATATTTCATCCCTTGCATCTGCATTACCCAAAATTAAATAAAAATAATTAATTAACTAAAAACTGAAAACAAAATAAAAATAAAAATAAATAATTTGTTATAAAAAAGTAGTATCCTTTTTAGGGAAAAAAAAAAGAAATAAAAAGACAACCGTTGATTTTGGTCTTCACGGCAAGGTATTTGGAGCGAAGAACCCTCCGCTCTGCGGCATCCTCTTGCCGACTCATCTGCTCCGACTCAACATTTGCCGATTTACCCCGGGCCTCTCTCGTCACCCTGGATCGAACCGGTTCAGCTTCTTCATTGGCATTACCTGCCTGCTTTTCTTTCTTCACAATTCTCCTCATAATTCCACAAATATGATTCTTAAAAAAAAGAAAAAAAGACTAATAACTGACCAAACCCTTAACAAAGAAATTAGCAAAGAAAGATCTTCAACTTCGAATGCAAAAATAGGACAAGAAATGTTTACAGTTTTATAAAGATTTTATTCCTCCTAATTTTAAAAAAGGGAAATGTTCAATTTACACAGGCTTCTTAAGGAAGGAAGCTATTGGTATTTGTTTCACGCTGCCTTTTTTTTTTATTTTTCCATTTTAATTTTTGGGGAGGATCTTCGCTTTCCCGCTTCTCAACTTTTTATTTTATTTTATTTTTGTATCCTTTTAAAAAGAGGGGTGTTCTTTTCCTAAAGTTATGGACCGAGGTTTTAAGTGCGCTCAACTTGGCCCATTTATCGATTATGATGGCAACATCTTAATTTATGTTAATGCAGGTATCAACGGGCCTCACCGAACCCGATTAACACCTATAATAATTTGCCCAAAGCCAGTTCGACCCACTCCTCAAAACCCGCTTATGCCTGCTATTATTCGAAATTATTATTAAAATATTAAAAAATTTATTTTTATATTAATATTTTTTAAAAATATATAATTAAAATTAATAAAATATTTTTATATTTTTGATCGAGCATGAATTTGTAAATTTTAATTCAAAACTTAACCTGAGTTAAACCATCATATCTTCGAAAAAATATAGTTTAACGGATTATTCTTTTTTTCTTGTACTAACATTTTTTTTCCTTTTTGTAGAAAAGGAAAAATATTAGTGTTTTGATGAAAAAAAAGATATAATAGCATTAATTTTAGTTTGATAATCTTGGCCAAAAAAACCTAGAAGAAATCATTTTTTAGAACACCAAAATTTGATTTACTCACAATATTTTTTTAAAATATCATAAATTTGAATACAAATTATATGTGTATTCTTTTATTACCTCAGTTATATGCTTTTAAAAAGTTTATCGATTTTTTCTTTTCCATACCAACAACGTGGTGGAAAGAAAATAACCGAAAAATGAAAAATAAATGGAAGTTTTACATTTGAATTTTTCAAAATTTTTAAATTTAAAAAAAAACTTAAATGACGACCCTCAATTCCTCATTCTCAATTTTAGAAATGGCAAAATTTTTAAATGTTTACTTTACATTCATGTTTTATTTTTATGAGATTTCACAAATTGAATCGACAGTATCCTTTGATTATAAATTCATTAAAAATTATTAATTGATCATTAGAATGAGTGCTCGCACGTCACCACAATATTTTTTTAAAATAATTTTACTTAAAAAAATCAAATTTATTATAAATAAATTATCCAAAAATATATATGTATATATTTATTGCAAATTCTTTGTTGAACAAATATTATAAAATGCCTAGTCTATTTTCAACTTAATTTTAAGAAAATTAATTTTTTATTTAATATCATTATACTTGAAATTCATTATTTGAAAATTTCAATTTCAATTGTTATACTACAACATTATTTGTGTCATAATATATAGATCCATAAATTTATAATTAGACTTAACGAAAATAGTCGCCACCAATATTTTATCTAAGTGTAATTGGTTACCTAATAAATTTATTTTTTTAAATAACTCCTAAGCTTAACTAAAGGTCCCTAAAAAAATAGGTTACAATCTACTAATCAAAACATGATTCAGAAGTTTGGTTAGATATTAGAAAGGTTATAGCATCCCATATGCCTATTCAAAGAATGATACCATTTTATTTTAAATTATTCTAAAATCTTGATTCTAATGGTCTTAAATTTAATATTGAAAATAATTTTTAAGATTTTCTATCAATCTGGTAAAATTCTTAAAAATATTTTCTTATCTCACATCAAAAGTATTCAAGAATCTTATTTATTTTCTTGAAGATGTTCTATCGTTGAAAAAATATTCATTTTTATTTTGATTTTTATTGAAAATATATCTAATTCATCTACTATTTAGGCTAAAATTATAAATATATTCTCACATAAAAAATTTTTAGATAATCAACCATTTATGATTACTAAGAATTTCATCCTTAAAATTTATTTTTATTTTTTTACAAGTTTTATTTTTAAATTTTTTACTATTTGGATCTATTTAGAAATTTTCTTTAAGTGTTGTTTCTAAAGTTTCCACCATTAGTGTCTATTTAGAAAGAAAAACTCTTGTTAGTTATTTTTTTATTTTTGAAAAAAAAAAATAATATGACAACTATTTTCTTTAAGTTTCATTTAAATTCTTCCATTAGTTGAAACAAATTTAAAAAAACTTCTCATTTAAAGGTTTTTTTAGAAAATTTACCATTTTAAATTTCTAAGATTCTCATCTTTGGACAATTGTCAAATATTTTCAACAAAATTTTTTTTATATTTTTATTTTTTTGAATTAAAAATAAATATTAATTATTATTTTTGAAATTTTATCTAAATTATTCTACAATTTGAGATAAATTAAAAGAAATTTCTCAACTAAAAATTTCATAGAAATTTGTCATTTGAAAATTTTGAAAATTCTATAATTAGATAATTAGTGTTTATTCTTAAAGTTTTTTTTTAAAAACACTTCTAATTTTTTCTAAAATTTAATCATGCAAAAATTCTTTAAAAATAAATAAACAAATAAAATAAAATAAAAATACCCAAAATTGGAATGGCTCGACTCGATGGTTGAGGGGCTAGGCTTAGCTACAGGGAAGAAGCAACTAGGACAGCTTAGCTCAGCTTGAGCCAATGATAAGGACACGGGTTGAAGGTAGGCCAATGCTACGGATTAGATCGAGTTTTCAGGGTGACATGTGGATCTGTACATTTTCAAATCTTTAAAATGACGTCGTTTTAATGGGGTATAAAAGGGCCAATTTTTTCTTTTCCCACAGATCCCCTCTCTTTTCCCTCTATCTCTTCTTCTCTTTTTCTTTCCCTCTCTCTCTAGAAACAAGAACACTGGTTGAATCTTCACTAAATTTTGGAAATTTATGCCAGAATCTAGGTTAAGTCGTAGGAAGTTTGTCGAAAGTTCACGAATTTTTAGAAAACTGACATTGAAAACTAGAAAATCTTGTTGGAAAGTCATCGGAATCTTCAAAGATCACCAGAAAAATCCATTGAAAATTGGGATTTCCAAAAACATTTTTTTAAAAAATCTTCTTTTTTAAACAAAAAAAATCTCCAAAAAATTTTCGTACTCTCTGGCTTCCTTTGCATGTGTTTTTTTTTCTCTAATTTGTGTGTTTGCTACTTAGTATGAGTAAGTATTTATAGGGTTCTAATCTAAATAATCTTAATCTAGAAAGGGTTTTAATTTTCTTCAAACTCCAACTTTAAACTTTAAGTTCAACCCCAACCCAAACAAACAATTTCATTCAAACTCAACCACTTGATTTTTTTTTCATTTTTTTTATTTTTATTTTTTTAATTAACAAAAACAAATAGAACCTAAGACAGATTGGAATGTTTACAGCTGCCCCTCTTTGTGTATTTTTTACGAAACAAGAATTGTGCAATGATAGAGACAACCCAATCAGGAATAAACTCGACACATTTTTTCTCTTTTTTTTTTTTTGTAACATACTCAGGCTTCTAGAATAACATAAAATCTCCTCTAAACAGAGGTTTAACACTTTAGAAAACAAAAAAGCTCCTCTTAACAGAGGCCCAATGAATAAATAAAGCTCCCCTAAATAGAGACTCACGACTTTTGATAAATGAATAAAGCACCTATAAACAGAGGTTCAATAACTTTAAAAATAAATAAGGCACCTCTAAACAGAGGCTCAACGACTTTTGAAAAGTAAATAAGGCACCTTGAAATAGAGGCTCAACAACTTTAAAAATAAATAAGATTCCTCTAAATAGAGGCTTACGACTTCTGATAAAAGAATAAAGCTCATCTAAACAGAAGCTCAATTACTTTAAAAATAAATAAGGCTGCTTTAAACAGAGGCTTAACAACTTTGAAAAATAAATAAAGCCCCCTTAAATAGAGGTTAAACAACTTTTGAAAAATAAATAAAGTTCATCTAAATAGAGGCTTAATGATTTTAAAAATAAATAAGACTCCTCTAAACAGAGGTTCAACAACTTTGAAAAATAAATAAAGCTTTTCTAAATAGAGACTCAACGACTTTAAAAAAAATAAGGCTCTTCAACAATCATGTCTAAAGGTCTTTTAGATTATCAAAAGATATTATAGAAGATTATGCCCAAAGGTCTTACAAATCATTCATAATATTGAGAAATTTCTTTTTTCAAGGATCAGAACCTTAACTCAAAGGTATTCTTTTTTCAAATGAGAATTTGAAGTTTTTTCATTGGACAATCTTCATATTTATCTTCTCTGTGTGAGATCTTGAAATATCCTAGCTTGTTAGATTCACACACTAGACATTCTTAAATGCAATACATGCTATACAAATATCAATTAATTAATTTTTTTTCAATTGCAGCACTTAAGTTTCTCAAGCTATTTCTTTGAATCCTGGACTCTTCAATCTTTAAGTACTAAGACCAAATCAATTTGATTCTCAATAATCTTTCCATAGTTCCTTTTTAAAGAAATCTTTCCTTCCTAAATTCAATGTCCTTACTAGGAACTGAACATTTCATATTTGCCTTTATCACTTTCAACCTTTCCAAGGTAATGTAGAAATCTCTCATGGTATTATTCATTTATCAATCATTATTTCAATTTCAAAAAGTAAAAATGCAATCACACATTTCTTACATTGTAAGGTATTAAAGGGAAAAGCCAAGGGATGGATTGGGAATAAAAGAAAAATAGTCATTAAAAGAGAGACACAAGGAATGAAGTGAAACATCTTGTTAAAAAAATGGTAGAACAACTTTGGCCATTAACAAGAAAGAATGATTACAAAAATCGGTATTAGGTAACAACACCAAGAATAAACTATCAAATTATCATGATAATATATCTTGGAGTCTTTTCAAAAACTCAACCACCTAATGCATTTAACAACTTAGAGCTCATCAGAACATTCTAGCCTTCATGTTGGTGAATACTCAAATTCGATATTATTTCCTCTTCCTTATTTAAGCTGTCTTTTAGGTTTTCAACTTAGATGAACACCTTTTTTAACTAAAATCGCCCTTTTGAGTTTTCAACTTGAGTCCTCCTTTTTCATTTTTTATTTTTTTATTTTTTTTATTTTTTTTAAAATGTAGTATTTCTTTATAGCATTAGAATTTATAGGATTG